CAAGTGCCAATCAGTCTTCCGGGATTTGAAGCAGGATGCAATATGTAGACCAACCATTGTCTCATATAATATTCTTATCTCAGTGTTTGGACGGTTATTGATGGTAGATCACATGGAGTCAATTCTACAAGAAATCAAAGACGTGGATATCTCCCCTAATGTTCGCACGTACAATAATCTGATTGCAGGATATGTTACAGCTTGGATGTGGGCCAGTATGGAGACCACCTTTACAATTATGAAAGCAACTGATGTCAAACCAGATATGACTACCTATTTACTGATACTTCGTGGGTATGCTCTCTCTGGTAGATTGGATAAGATGGAAGAGATATATCAAATGGTAAAAGACCATGTAAACTCTAAAGATTTTTCTTTGATTCGCACTATGATATGTGCCTACAGCAGGAGTTCTGATTCAAATAGAGTTGAAAGGATTGAAGAACTGTTAATGTTGATTCCAGAAGCTGAATATAGACCTTGGCTGCATGTGTTATTGATTTGTGTATACGCGAATAAGGATTTATTTGAAGAAATGGAGAATTCAATTAGCAAAGCATTTGAGAGGAAGACTACGGTCAAGACAACTGCTATAATGCGATGCATTGCTGCGAGCTATTTCCGGCAAAATGCAGTAGATAAGTTTGCTGATTTCGTGAGCCGTGCAGAGTCTGCTGGTTGGAAAACTTGCCGGTCTCTGTACCACTGCAAAATGGTCATGTATGCGGCACAAAGGCGACTTAGTGATATGGAAAAGGTTGTTGAGGAGATGGACCAAGCGAATCTGTACATCTCAAAGAAAACATGTTGGATCCTGTACAAAGCTTACTCACAATGGGGTGAAATCAGTAAGGTTGAGCAGGTTAAAGGCATAATGCTCAAGCTAGGCTATGGAATTCCCGTGTCTTCATAAAGTACAATTGTGTAGCAAGTATGCCATCAACTATTCTGTGCACCTGCAGCGTATAATTTGCTCAGCAGACCCCAATATGGCAGTGTATTTGGCGGTTTGGTCAAGACCAGCAGATGATAGTTCTCTTTGTAAATCATCTGCCGATACACACACTCAGCAGGGAGCATCTTACCATTTACACAATGTCGTCTGAGGTTTGACACTGTACCTGATATGAAGGAGAATGTGTATATCAAGCCTTGACACTACTGCTACGAGACCTGTGTGTTCAGTTTGATGTATGCCAGTGTGTGCATAGTAGAGGTGATGACAAGTGCTTTTACTGGCTTAAAGTTTACTTGTTATTTATCTGTTGTGAAACACCATGTTACTTGTCTCCTGAAGTTTTGCCACTTCTTCTTTTTCTTTTCTTTTTTTGCAGAAATGGCCACTACAAGAGACCCTGTTGCCAAATTGAAGCTGAACCATTATTTATGGTGACAAAAGGTGCCAGCTAGTTATTCTGTAACATAAGCCTGATAAACAGCCTGTTTGATCGTTTCCTCTGATTGTATGATAAATTTTTGAGCGGTTGCATGCATTTTAATTTACATAAAGAAAATAGGATAGCCTGCATGAATCTCCTGAACATTAGAGAAGTTGTAAAACACAACAAGATCGATTCTTGCATACCCAATTTAATTCAGGACTGTTTTTCTTCATTCACTCACTTCATGGATATGATAATGAAACTCATACCCAATTTAATTCAGGCTTGTGAGGATTTTTGCTGCCGGCCATCATTCCGGATTTTCTTCGCGTTTCTTCGCGTAGTGTAACTATTTTTAGACCATAATTCCAATGGTATAGAAATTTAAAGGTTTTTTAATCAGCAACTACTGGGAAACGCGTGGTATTTTTCTGTAAAGAACAAGCGCATTGTATATTTGGTGGAGCCTTTGATGATAATGGAGAAGAATCTAAGTAACAGAGATGCCGTACATTATTATTACGTTCTCTTATTTCTCTCAAAATGGGGAATTTGGTGTTTATCTGGGGAGGTTGACATCTTGAAGTCTATTGTGTCTATTTGTTACTGGTGAAGATCCCCCAATATCTCCAAATTGAATATTCCATAAAGTAAAAACACAGCTTCTTAGTGGATGCAAACGAAATTATACATTCCATTTGTGATAAAGAGAGAAGCATGATTAATTCTTAACACAGAAGGAAGGATTGGCCATTTTTTTATACTTCCATTTCTCAAAAACATTCTTAGTACTATTCCCAATTTAGTACCGACTCCGTTGCAAAAATTGAATGGCCTCAATAAAGATCGAAGGATCGACCTCGTGTTAATAATCATATCTTGTCCTAATATCATGACCAATCCAACGTAATTTTATGGGTAGACCAATATGCTTTTTAGGTTTTGATTTTTCAATAAGTTTACTAGCAGTAAATAGTGTCGGAATATAAGTGAACCACTTTGTTAACATTATCTAAACGAAGGGTTAAAAAAAAAAAAAAGAACCGTGAAGAAAACCACAAATTGATTGATGTGTGAACATAAAAACGCAGACCAGAAGCCGCAGGCGACCCACTGAAAATATGTTAATGACCTAACACTGAGATAGATGACAAAGAAAGTTTAAATTAAGCTGGGGGAAAATTGGCCATTCTCCATTAATAAAATCAAGGTTAATTACGAGACCAAATCCTTAATGACAATGACCTCTAATCTTGTCGTGTTAAAGCAAAGTATTTGTGGGTAACGCTAAAATTGTCCAGCTAATTCCACAAAACGACAACCACGCAACACCCCAACAAATGATACAAACAACACCACCACTATAATACAAATACCTCTTTGTCATTATAGTCTAATTCAACTTTTTTTAAGGAACATTAATCGACAAATCCAGAACTAAACACAAAAAGAAGAAACTTTAAGCAATCCACCATTGAACTTGTAGTCTTGTACATTAATATTATTTATCATGTGAATTATCATAAATCTAACGGTCAAAAAAATCAGTAATTTTATCTCAAAACAGTAACAGTTATTTCTCCAATACTACAGTAATATTCACAAAATACACCATAATAACGATTGTATGGATTATTTTTTATTGATTTTTTCATAATAATAATAATATAATAATAATAATTGTCTCATTTCAGCATATGTTTTTACATTTTTAATATACTTTTTAACATTCTCAATAAAAAAAAAAACACATAAAACACACAATAAAAAAATGATTTTTTCAATTAGTCATTCATGGTAGTAACTATTCTCTTACAAAGGAAAAGAAAAAGAACAAAAGTCAAGGGAAATTAAATTGTCCTTACATTTGGCGTATGAGTTGAGAGACAGGACAGATGTATCTAATAACAAACTTGGAACTTTGTCATATGTATTATGAATTGATTCATTCCTCATAAGTGTAATTTCTAAAACGAGCAGATGCCCGCAAAGTCAAACTCACACCAATCTCTTTTGTAATTTCAATTGTCCGTTTCTGAAATCTTAGCTGTGATTTTTTTAATCTTTCAGTGCTAAATCTAATTCAAAGACTAATCTAAGTACTAAGGTGAAAGAGCCAATCCCAACATCCAATTTCAACCCAAAGATCAATCAATCAATGATATTTGATTGTTCATCATCAATCCGATGCTTCTCGATATGTTCCTTTAAATATGTAATCCCTTGACCCCTTCTCTTCGAAAAGTAAATAAAAACTAGCTAAATTAATTAACGAAAGAGTAAAACAAAAAAAAGGTAAACAACGTACACGTAAAATCTAATTTTGAGTCAAATTATAGCGTGAATGAAACTGAATAAAATAATTCAAACATAAACCACAAACACAATAACAAAAAAATAAAATAAAATTATAACGCCGGGAATCCCACCAGAAATGGGTAAACTCACGTCCAATGCAATAGCCTGCAAATCACATTGAGAGATAAACCATCGTAGATAAGTTCGGAATGATAAGGTCGGGTGCGTTAGAAGAGCATTTCACATTTTTTGTTGTGTCTTGTCAAAAATGTTACGGTCGGCAGGAGATGAGAAAAAAGGAGGTTGGATTTCCAAAAATTACAAACCAAACCAATCAAACCAAGTGAAGTGGAAGAGTTTCTCTCTTTTGCTTCCATTCCATCCAAAGGAGAAGAAAAGGAGGAAGGGGGAAAAAAAAAAAGAAGAAACCAATGGGAGTGAATTTGGTTGAAATGATCCAAAACTCCAAAACGGGGGGCTAAACAATAATGGAGACTCCAAAACACCAAAAAACAAAGAATACCAACAAACAAATAGTAGTAGTCATAAATAATAATGGGGTGTGAATTGTGATCCCAAATGGTGACAAAGTGTAAGCAAACAAAAAATCAACGTCCAAAAGGAAAGCAAAAGAAAAGGAGAGGGGGGAATAGGCGTGATCCATGATTAGGACTCCTGTCCAATCATTCCCATTTATCGATCGACCCTCTTTGGCTTTTGGGACTTATGATTTTTCATCATAGACGTGCTGCCTTTTTGGTGGACGGGGTTTGGTTTCGGCTTTAGGATGACAAACTAAACGGGATTCAATTGCATTTGTGGTCCACTCCCTCCTCCCCCACCTCTTTTTTTTTTTTTTAGCCCTCATGACTATTTGTTGTTGCATTATTGTGTGGAAATAACTTGGAACTATCAACTTCATTTTTATGGACAAAGCCAAGTGTCCAACCTCATTTTAGGGTTTGAGTCAATCGTGTTTATAAGCATCCTTGCAAACTTTCAGTGGTTGAATGTTCGATTCTTACTTGTTTCGACAAGATCTGCTAATGAGGTATCGCATGCTCATGATCGTCCCTAAGAGAACCTATCCCGTGATTGCCTAATGGTCAACTAGCCAAATGAAAATCAGTCTGCCTCGGGACTTTTATATTGTTCTTCTTTAGATGAAAAAAAAAAAAAATGGTGGTTACGCACACATTTGCAATTGCTGCCCATTAATTCAAGTCGTGGTTGTCACTACTGTTCCTCAAAACCCTTCGCACTATCGAGATCCCCCTTTTAACAAACGAGAAGAACATAAAAAGAAGGTGAATTAAATGTCCGAATGTGTCATCTGCCATTAAAGGAGCAAGCAATCAGAAAAGGAGGACGAAATATCCTTCCATCGTCTCGGGCAAAACAATCAAATCTGTACTAGAATCCATCATGATCGACTTCCCCTAACAAAGTGATACATGAACATCCTTGAACTCTCCAATCAGAGATGGTAAAAAAAAAACAAACATTTGATCCATGGAAATGGCTAATACCAAGAAGAGCAAAGTACTGAGAAAAGAACAAACTTCACTGGAGCCTTGTCCAGTAGCAATTTTGGAGCCAAAAGTAGCCAACCATCCAGTTCTAATAGAACATTAAGCAGTGGGATAGAATTACTCAAAACAGAGCTGCATATACACTAAGAAAACGAAACAAACAAAAATCTTTATATATCTCTACGCCAACAGTATAATAATAACATACAAGGGTTTTACAGCTCCATGATTTCCAATTCACGTCCTGAAACTAGACTTCTGGCATTTCCATTTTGCCAAACACCGAAGCCACACCCAAATGAGTTAGGGCCAAATGCCTCCAAGTGCTACTACTTAGTATACTACACTCTGCTCCTTCCTGGTCAGAGATTTTCAATGGCGGACATGGCTAAGCTGGCATACATCTAGTTACAATCTTTCTTCAACATTAGAGCAATTGATCAGGCACAATGACACCCCGTTGAAAACACAAAAGGGCAATGGATCATTCCTCAGGCAAAGGGGACACAACAGAATCCCCAATTCACATCCACCATTCTTCTTGTAAGATAGATAAGAAAAGTTGAAGATAATAATAAGGGTAAGTAGTAACTCTACACAATCATCATAAAAACTACACACCATAATCACCATCACTGCCAAAAGTAGGGGCGAAATATAAAAAGAACCCGCGTTGCATTGTCAAACTTTTATGTTATGTATTTGCTGCCAAGTGGTAAATCAAAGTTAATTATAATAATCTATATTAACAGTTAGGAGTCGTTCTTGTGGATAAAGCTTGTGATTTCCTCCATAAGCAAGTAGAAATAATCATTGTTCGGCAAGAAGAAGAACCCGATCGTGGCATCCTTGAGATGTAGAAGTTTCACCTCTTTTCCATTCTTTTTCAGCCCTTCAACATAAGCCAATTGCCAATCCTGAACAAGATCCAAACCAGGCACAACAACAAGACTCTTCGGGAAGTCCTTTAAATCTTCAATGCTTTTACCCCTAGGACCAAATATGTTACAAGCTGGATGATCTCTGTCTTCACCTTCAGGCAAAAACGCCCTCCAGTACCAATCCCTATCCTGGACTTTCACAAAGTATTTCCCATCTAACCTCTTTTCTGATTCTGTTCTTTCTTCTCCACCAAACAACGGCTGAAGCAGGATATTGCCTAATACCTCGACTCCTGATTCGGCAGCCCTAACAGCAACATGGTGAATTATGTTTCCTCCTGAACTATCACCAGCTAAGAAAGCATGAACTTTCAAGTCCTTCTCGCTTCTCCCACTCTGTAACCAAGGTCTTGAATGAACCCATTTCAAAGCAGCCCATCCATCTTCATAAGCACAAGGGTAACGATACTCAGGTGACCTCCGGTAATTCACAGACACAACTACTGCTTTGCAAATGCTGACTAAACGACGACAAAGGGTGTCATAAATAGCACTGTTTGCTGATGAATGTGCAAAACTTCCTCCATGGAAGAAGACAATAACTGGGACAACTTCAGTGGTGCTTAATGGCTTCTCAAGCTCTATTTTTCCATATTGATCCTCATTTTCAGGGGCAGGCCGGTACACACGATTAAGGAGGTTTGTTACACGGTCAACAACATCAAAGGAATAAACCCCATCAACAGGGATTGTGTTTGCAGGGACTTTTCTGTCAAGAAATTCAGCTAATTCCCGGTTGAAAGTTCCATCGGGGCGGCGAAGCATGTTGTAAGCCAACTTGAAGTTGGAGATGAGTATCCAAGTATTGAGAGGAACAACCCTCTGAAAAATGACGAAATCCACAAAACCATTAAGAATTTACCTAAACAACTCAGACCAAAATGCCAAGAAGTGTGGAGCAAAATATCAAAATTTGAGACACTTATCCAAATTAGTAGTGAAACAGACCCTATTCTTAAGAATCCCAGAATAAATGGCATCAGGAGAAAAGGGAAACAATGAGGAAAACCGCTTGCATACCCAAAATAAGAAAAGACATAAAAAGTAAAGAAACACTCCAAAGACCAGATAATGTCCCCAACCCCAAAAAACAGAAATCTACAGGGGATATTTATTCAGATACAGCTAACACTGCACGGGGGAAAAAAAAAGATGTAAATCAAAAGAAGGCGATAAAAATAAATTCAACAGTTGATGCCCTAAATCAAACCAGGTTAAAGAAGAATAAAGATTAGTCTTTTTCTGTAAGAACAAAGGAGTAAACAACCTTTTCTGGAACAAAGAAGCCCAAATCACGAGGGAGAAATTGTAAAAGGGCAACAAAAACCCACAAAAATCAAATACAAAAAGAGTAATTCAACACAACAAAGATTTGATGTCTCAATTGAGAAGAAAAAACCAACAACAAATCACAATACCTTGGATTCACTGGCGTTGATTTCATTACTACCAGCCATCATGGTTCACTTCAAAGATTCACACTTTATTAATACAAAACCCCTTAAATTTCCGAGCTGATCTTCAAAAATATGACCCTTTGACCACTCATAACTTATCAGGCCGTCCAACCCAGAAAAAAAAAACAAAATGAACACACTCGAGAGTTCAATCAATCCCCTTTCTACTTTCCCCTTCCTTCACTTCCTTGATAGTGCCGTACAAGAGAGGAACTATAACCGAGACACAGAACTCTTGGGTGTCAATATATATAGTACTACTGGTAAAAAGCTATTTTCTTGTTTTTGGTTTTGGTGGGTTGGTTGTGGCTGTTTCTGAATCCTCGTTTATTGAATTTTTTTTTCCTTTTTTTTTTTCTTTCCTCTCTTTAATTTATCCCCTGAAGAAAGAACTGAAACAAGAAGAGACACATCTGCAATTCAGAACCGAGAAAATGAAGATGTGCAGGGCTGATAAATAGTAGTAATTTCTTACTTTCAATTTCGATTTTTCAATCTTCCTCCCCCCCCGGCTCACAGATAAAGAAGAGAGAGAAAGAGACGGACTTAAACAAGGCCAAAAAAAAATTTGCAAAGTGGACACAGCTAAAATAAAATTGATGAAGAGCCAAAATTATTACGTAGTGGGGATAAGTGAGAGAGAGAGAGAGAGAGAGAGAGAGAGAGAGAGAGCGGTGGGGCGTGAAGGTCAAACGCTAAGGGACGAAGGTGGTGGACGGAGACGAAAGAGACGACAAAAGGGGGCGGCCGGAAATAAACTGTGGGTATGGGGCCCACCATTTTATTTAATGAGGGAGGAGTCATAAACTACAGCTACTTACTGCTGCTCTATTTGCTCTCTTGCCCCCTTTAGTATGATTTTTTAATTTTCAATTCTTAATTTTAAGTTTTGAACACTTATTAATTCATTCACTAACTTTATTAATCATGCTGAATGGATTAGTATATTTAATCACAAATTGTTTTAACTTTTTGAAAATAAAATTTTTACCCATCACAAAATAACATTTATGATCCAAACACTTATATATGTAATTTAATGAACATTATTTTTTCTTCTGAAGGGATATAATATGTTTCGAATTGGTGTCATGTCAACCAACTTGGCATAATGGTTTCAGGAAAAATGGAATAAAAAAGAGAGGGAAGAAAAAAAAAAACATGATAAAAATGAGGGTTTACTATTATTTGAAATTCCCTTTCGGGTATTAACTTCTTGGGACTTCACCTTTTATTGCTTAGACGGTTAGACCTTTGAGTTTAGAGTATTGATTTTTTTTAATTGGAGATTTGAAATTGTCAAATTACAAAAATTTGCATGGATATCATTTTAAACCTAAAAAAAAATTAGTTTCTAACTTAACTTCAAACTAGATGTTTGGCCCAGGCAGATGCCCGAGCGCCCCTTCTAAATTACTATTTTATTAAAATCTAATTGAATTACTATTTTTTGAGGAATTAATTTGGCGTATATATCATTTATGCTATGATTTAGGGCTTAAAAAAATATACCTATAAATCTGAGGTTATAAGGGAATAATAAATAATTAGTTTGTAAGGCATTATTCTTAATTGCTGGATTTAGGTATTTTTATTTTTTGTTTATATTAAGCCTGCAAAACTATACAATTGGACATTTGAATTTGAATTAATATATCCATTCGTTTGAAATGTAACTGATCCTTATTTGTAGTAAAACATATGTTTTTTTTAAAAAAAAAATTATATAACTTCTAATTAAAAGAGACTTACACATGACAAAAAGACTCCTGAAATCTGAAATATGGTGCGTTGGAGCCAAAACAGATGCATACTTAGTTGTCACATAAGTTTCATGTCTTTAATAGGGTAAAAGGGATATCAAATACTCAAAATTAATATAACTTTTAAATTTACATTGTTAAAACTAATTTTGCGTAATTTTCAACCACTAATCATCCACGTCTTGCCGGCGATGACCAATCATATTATGCACAATTTCCGGTTAGTTAGGCGGCGATGATTGGCGATGGTGATCAAGTGCCGAGTAACAATTAATGGTAAAAAGTTAATTTAATAGCGATGATAAGAATATTATTTTATCTAAAAACTGATTAATAAAATATTTTAAACTTGCATTCAAAACATTTTTAAGTCGTATTCAAATCCATAGCAAAAATGAATACAGAACACTAGCCGAAAATAAATGTAACTATAAATCGATGAATAATTTTAAGGTAAGCCAAATCAAATATGAAATTAAATCAATAAATAAACTCAACCTCAAATTTAATTTATTTTAAAATAAAACGTGCTAAATATATCCCTTGAATATTTCTGATAGTGAACACAAATCTTTTTAAGTTGTTAGTCGGTCAATGGCTAGACGAACTTTTCTAGGGTCTTTTCCCTAAAAAATTTAATTAAAACAAAGGTGGACAAATTTAAATTTTTCATAATATTTGTGGACAGGAATATATCCCACGCGAAATCCGAGTTATAATTAAAATTGAGAACTCGGATTTCTGAAATCCGAATCTACATTTAATAATAAAATAATAATTAAATAAATTTTGTTGAATAATATTTTTAAAAAAATCTTACATGAAAAGGTGCCGTTCGGATTTGCATAATCCAAGTCCCATTAAAAAATAATAAATTGAGGCGCAAAATATTTGAACTGAAATAAGGATTAAATAAATAGTAGTACTCGGATTTCCGAAATCCGAGTTCTCAAAAAGAAAAAATAAAATAAAATAAAATCAAGGCGCGAAATTTTTGAAATCAAAGAACTGGAATACCGTAATCCGATTACATGTATTAGTGTTATATATTATTTGTATCTACTAGTATTATGTAGTACATTAATATTATTACTTATTATTATGTAGTACATTAATACTAATACCTATCATTATTGGTACTAGTTACTTATTACTGTTAAATCTATTAGTTATTAGATATTATCATAAATTCAGTATAATTTATCTGTATTAGTGTTGTGTATTATTTATACGTACTAGTATTATGTAACACATTAATACTATTTACTCATTATACATTACTGGTACTAGTGTTACTTATTACCGTTACATATATTAGTTATTAGATATTATCATAAATTCAGTATAATTTATCTGTATTAGTCTTGTGTATTATTTATACGTACTAGTATTATGTAACACATTAATACTATTACCTATTATACATTACTGGTACTAGTGTTACTTATTACCGTTACATCTATTCGTTATTAGATATTATCATTAATTTAGTATAATTTATCTGTATTAGTTTTATGTACTATTTGTACGTACTAGTATTATGTAATACATTAATACTATTATCCATTATACATTACTGGTACTAGTGTTACTTATTACTATTACATCTATTCTTTATTAGATATTATCATTAATTTAGTATAATTTATCCGTATTAGTGTTATGTACTATTTGTATGTACTAGTATTATGTAATACATTAATACTATTATCCATTATACATTACTGGTACTAGTGTTACTTATTATTGTTAAATCCATTAGTTATTAGATATTATCATTAATTCAATATAATTCATCTGTATTAGTGTTATGTATTATTTGTACGTACTAGTATTATGTAGTACATTAATACTAATACTCATTATACATAAGTGGTATTACTGTTATTTATTATTATTAAATCTGTTAGTTGTTAAATATTATCATTAATTCAGTTATAATCTATATGTACTACTGTTATGTACCTTTTAAGCAAATAATCGCATTTTCAGAATCTGAGTCAAGTAAAAAATTAGATTTTCAAAATAAGGCCATAGGGTTTAGGGTTTAACTTAGGATTTCCCAAATCCGAGTGTTACTTATACTCGGATTACCAAACTCCGAGTGTAACCTATAAACGGATTATCAAAATCCGAGTGCAACATATACTCGGATTACCAAAATCCGAGTGTAACATATACTCGGATTTAGGGTTTAGGGTTTAGGTTCGGATTTCTAGAATCCGAGTTTATCAAGGAAACATGGAAGATTCGGATTTCGGAAATCCGATTCGTGTTCAAAAAATTACCAACACTTGTACAAAAAAAAATTTTCCTCGAAAATTAATATTTTAATCATAAAGTCGGATTTCAGAAATTCGAATTATGATTAATTATGACAGATGAAAATTTTACTTAGTTTTAGTTTTAATTAAAATGAATTCGGATTTTCAAAATCCGTTTTCTATTAAATTCGGATTTCCGAAATCCGAGTTTACCCCGGATTCGGATTTTTGAAATCCGAAGGATATAGATTTGTCCACAAAAATTTCAAAAAAATTAATTTGGTCTACCTTTTTTTAAAGAAAATTGTTTAGGTCAAAAACTCTACTTTTCTACATAAGAAAAAAGAGGAGAAGAATAATAATAATAGTAATTAAATAATTAAAATGGGAAAATGAGAAATAAATAGCAATAAGTCCAGAGAGGAGGAAGACAAGAGCTACAATAGGCTTTTCCTGCGTGCGGCCGACGCCAAGGCACGTGGCGACAAAAAGGTTCCGTCTCTACTGCTTTTGCCCAAACTTTGACTCCGAAATGACTCAATTGCCCCTGTCAAACAAAACCCACTCCACGCCACGACGGACGACACGTATTTTGTCTTTTAGCTCAGGGCGCGTGACGGCATGACTTTTGTCAGAACTCCATAAGCCCATCCACTTTTCCTACTTCCCTTTTTGGGTTAATTTTTGGGTTTTTCGCACCCCCAACGTTCCGGATTTCACTCGTGCACCCCATGAAGTTGGAAATTTTAACATTTTATACACTCCCTGTCCAATACTCCTTTAGTTCCACTTCTTATATCGTTACCGATATAAGTAACAAATAAAAGAAAATCAGATATAAGTAACAAATAAAACAATTATTTTAGAAAAGAAAAATCAGAAATCATGATGACTTGTATGAATGATGATTGAATCACTGTTTCCACGCTTAATGGTTTGAAAACTGTATATGTTATTCCAAAATATTATGATAATGTTTCAATTTTTCGTAAGAAAACATACGATTAATGAACTTTGTAGTTTATATCGTTTGTGATGCCCAATTAGTAACTAGGTTGTGTTAATATTTATTACTAAGAGCGTGTCATTTTTTAAGTTAACCTCGTGACATATAGTTATGGCTCATTACAGATTGATAATTGGATTATTTTCAATTTAAATAAAATTCATACGATATTTGACGTTGAGTATGTGAAGTTAATTGGCCTTTCACACTTATACAACAAAATTACATACCAATGTTCATCTCTCTCTCGAGCAATTGACAAAATTAGTATTCACGATATCTTTGAAGTTATTTTCTGTGACATATTCAGTAATTGAAGCAACATCAATGTGTGCTCTTATTATTAAAATAAAGGGAGAAAAATAAAAATGTTAATAAAATTAAGCCATATTCTAGGTTGATAACAAGTAACTTGTGAATAATAACTTAAATTGTGTATCATTCATGATTATGACAACTTTTTAAAGTGACTAATTTTTATCATTGAATTGTAAGTATCTTGATGGGTGGGACAACTACTCAAAAAATTTAAGGCTATGGCATAAAATTGTACTCTCGACCTATAATTAAGGGTGAAGGAATCTAAAAACCACTACGCCACAACGCTTATGTACGGTTAAATAAT